GACATTCCTCTACCCTGTCTGACGGGAAACAGATCTTTGATCACGTGTCTGTATTTCAAACTACTATCACGTCTGATTTGATTGTCAAAATTATAACCCTTTTTGTGAGCATTTGACGCAATCAATATACTTTTGTAAGCATTTAGATCGTCCTCTGCATACACATCGCTGTTTGGCAGTCTTTTAAATATAAGCTCATAGAGCCCCTCGGAAGGTGGGTATCTCGTGTTGTTAACAATAATGGTACCGTCAGTGTCAAATTCCATCACCTTGTTTCCAATCATTAAAGTTTTTCCTCTTTCATCAAACCTTGGACCATAGTCGTGGTCAATAGTTCTATGTTTTCCACCGGCGTCTCGTATAAACTGGGTCATGTATTTTCTAGTTAAAGGGTTCTCAAACTGTTCTTCAATGTACTTAGATGCTGTTTGAAAGCCTAATGGAGACGAAACAACCTCTTCCAATTGACTAGTTTCAGCTCTAGGTGTTGATATGGCCTCTGGTTTAAACGGTTGACCAATGTTATCATCGTCATCGGTCTCATAGTCCATTGGCTCTTCTTTAGAAAGCTGTTCAATTTTAACATCTGTTTTTGGTTCGCCTTTTTTCAGTTCTCTAATTAACGGTTTGTATTGCTGCTCCAGAAGTTTTTCACTCTCCACACTACCATCTTTAAACTGTCTAAATTTACGCCTAACTGCTTCTTTCAACTCTGCTATTTGCAGAGTGAGATGTTTATTCTTCCGCGTCATCTTTGATAATGAGCCTGAAACACCACAGCTAGCCTCTTAAGGCAATTCAATCTGTCGAAAAAATAGTGCACGTTTCTTATGTTTACGTAGGTAGTGCACTACTTCTTTCAAAGATATGCCCGAGGTAATATCTATATCTCGGTAGTATCTTTTTGTCACTAGATCAAATTGCGGAATAGTGTACCTTTTTGACCAATTCCGAAAACCAAACGTTCTTTTCCAATTATCTCTCCATTTTGGTATTTCCGCTACGGTATACCGCTCACTAACGTCACTTTTTTCCATATACCTCTGCAAAAAAGACATTGGACGCTTCATCTCATTGTGGTGTAACAGAAACGAGTTCAATAACCAAAATTCACTTGGATTCGCTCCAGTGAACTCACGCCATTGGTCAAACAGTTGACGATCAGTTATCGTATACACGCCATTATTGAAACCTATTCCAAAACTTTCGCTATATTGTTGTAAAGTTGGCAACGCAGCCTTTAGAAATTCTGTTGTAAACAGTCCTTGGCACAAGTTGTTTACCCCGGCATAAGGTTTACCACGAGATCTCGGTAATCCCGGAGGTACCGGACCATATGCTACATTATAACTCACATCGATATGGCATTTCGACGCCATCGCAGTTTTATAAATCGTCAGAGGTGATCTTATTGGTAGAGTCCGTTCAGTCAATACTATACATCTTGCTGCATAGGGAATATTGCAACCATATTCGAGCATTCGGAGGTAGATCTGGGTAAAGTTTATGCTACCATGAAGGTTGCGCAATGGTAAAACCTTACCAAAAATATCCGGAAACGGTCTAAATCTCGAAATAATATTATGGGACTCTCTAACTGTGCAGTTGTTCATATCTTCGTGATAGACCACCAGTTCAAGTGGAACTTTCTTTTCTTCGCATTTTTCCAAAAATCTAATCCAAATTTCACGGTTGTATGTACGTTCACTCGCAGATATCATTAACAAGATAACCGGGGGTAGTACAGCGCTCTGTTTTGGCACTTTATGTCTCCAACACCGCCTATTGCACTTGTGACCATGACGTCCTTTTCTGCTACAGTAGTTTCCACAAAACTTTTTCTTATCGGAATAGTAATATGTGCAAAGATTAGATTTAACATTATGAAGTTTGGTATCGTAACCTCTAAGGTCGTTGTAGGTGTAGATGTTAACCATTATAACTCCTCAATGAAACTGTCAAATCCTATACGGTATCTTCCTTTATTAGTGTCTCGAGTCTTGTCGATAACTAAGAACCCATGATTGTCTTTCCACGCCAGTGAACACAACTGTTTGAATTTATCAAATGGCATGTCGGTAGTGACATGGTCGCTATATACATGTCGTAAATTCATATCATCCTGTTTGAATAGTATTAAAAGGTTTGCGTTGTCTCTAATAAGCTGCTTTGGTATAGCACTATACGTCTGACCCAAATAAAAGGTGTCAATATTGTTATGCCTACCCATAGTGAAATAGTTTGTAATGTTGTTGTGTTTCTCACAGGATATATCGTCAAATATCATTATTGAATGTTGTTTGGCCTTATTTGGATGAACTACCAAGTTGTTGTCACCATATGCAAAATAACCAATTTCCTTAGGTAGAGCCAATGGTAAATACCCCCGCCGCAGCAAACCTGCAGACTAAGCGAATTTCAACTTGTCTGATTACATTTTTACTAAAATATTTCCATAAATAAGACATATTTATTCCCTATTTAAATAACATTATATTTAACGAGTGCTTAGGTTTGCTGCTACGGGGAAGGTAAAAAGTGTTTTTTGACTATACGTCAATAGTATAGGATGAAATAAATAAATTTGCCAAATTTTATCAATATATATCCATAAACAAGTAAACTACAACGATTTTCATTTTCTCCATAAGAATAACATGGGAATTTTAAATTACACTATATTTGAATTTTCTCCGTGACCGTTAGGCGTACAACAGCGCTTCAATATACTAAATTATTTCTTTTTTTAAGCTCTACAAAACGGTTTAGGAAGAAATTGTAAAATGTTTTGTTTTTAGGGTCAAAAATGGGAAAAACCCATTTTTACCCCATAAAACCCCCCATAAACCCCCGTTCCCATGGTCCGATTATGCTGGATCGCGAACTCGTTCGAATAAACGTAGGATTACACGTTTGTACCAAATTTCATCAAAATCGGATCATTTTTGCTCGAGTTATCGCGCTAACGGACACATATATAAATATATATATATATATATATATATATATATATATAAATATTTATATATATATGAATTTAAACGGATGGTGTTTTTGGTCTCTAGGGACCTCAAAACGAAAAAGTAAATCGGTCCCGGGTCCAGGTCTTACCATGAGTACTACGGTAATAGCTTATTCCCTATATGGGAAATTCGCTAAAACTGGTATTTGGGCTGATTCAGGGATTTACAGAAAATGTAGATATTTTCAAAAACAAGACCATTTGGATCGAATAATAAATTAAACACAACATTTGTTTTACCCGAGTTGCTGGGGCCTGAAAGGATGCCGCGAATTGAGTCTGGTAGCAGATGGCCATGTTTATTTTTAGATGCCAGACCCTCGCCGAGATACTCGTCATAGTTTTTTACCGTCAAAGGGGGACTCTGCTGCGCCACACGCATCGTAGTCGACTGATTGTAGCACACTCACCCTATCGTTTATAAATACGCCCGGATGCAGCTGCTTGATCCACACGTAGCCGTCACCGGATGCTCTAAATAAGAATGTCGCTTTTACTAAGCCACGTGTCGCTTCTCTTGTCAAAGCCAAGCCATCTGACTTTTATTTTATCTCCTTTCCGCTGTAACACTCTTTCAACTAAATATACATCTCCGGTCTTTGATTTATTTAGCTCCTGTTCATAAAACCCTCCCTTTAGTATTTCACCGTTATGGTCTTTGAGTACATATGTAGGTGGTTTTGTCGGTTTGATGGCGTAAATGGTGAAAACCTCGTTTGTCCAGTTTGGCAGATAGCCTTTAGTAAAAACTCTTTTGTACTTGCTAATCCTAACACTATCCCCCAGTTTAAATTTTGGTGTCACCCTTTTCCCCTTCTTGTTTATCCTTTTTAATATTTCCTTTACATTCTTTTGTTTCACGTCTTTTGGTTTCATACCAATTGTTTTATGTACCGAGTTATTATATCGTTTGAGAATATCAGGAAGTAATGACAACCATTCATATGTACCCTTTGCGGTAAACTCTTTCCACATCCACTGTTTCAAAGTTCTGTTATATCTTTCCACGATACTAGCTTTTAAATCAGAAAACGTAGAATAATGGTTAATTTTATACTTTTTCATGAGAGCACCAATATGTTTATTAAACCATTCGGTTCCTTGATCGGTTTGAAAGTGTTTCATCTAATGTTTTATCAAAATAGGTTCAAGTGCCTTGGCAACTGCCGGACCTGTCTTATCTTTTAACGGGACTGCAAACCCGAGTTTTGAAAAACAATTGATCATAGTCATGATGTACCGATTACCTTTATTTAGCTTTGCATAAGGCTGCATCTCTACGAGATCGGCCTGGTACAAATCATTCAACCCTTTAAGAGTCACTTTCCGTCTAGTGTAATTTTTTCTAGCAGGTTTGTGTAGCTCTTCAGCTATAGCACGTCTGACATCCATTGTTAAAATGATACAACTTGACAGTGTATTGATAATTTATTAGGTTTTTAGAAATGCTGCGGCCCCTCCACCGCCGCAGCTCGTGATGGCCTCCAAAAACAAACTAGTTGCCACCTCCGTTTATTTTTTTTGTTTTACAAACATTTAGTTTTTACAATATTTACAAGTTACTTTATGGAAGATAAATAAAGGAGCCATGCAAATGCTGCATGTTTCTTTAGGGACTTTAAACTTTGGATACATGTAGTTACCTCTTCGCTTTAAGCGAGAAGGAAGATCAACCATTCTTCCACAGTCAATACATAACCTACTAGAGCCTCTAAAAGACTCGTAGTAGTTTAGGGTTACATAACCACAGTTTTCTCTATGACAGTTCAAAATGTCCTGCCTTAGCGTTGATGGAAGATCAACACTTTCTTTTACATAAGGGAAAAGGATAACGTTTGTGCAAATTTCCCTAATTGAAAGCTCAGACAAGGACAACATGATGGCAAGAAGGTTCCAAATAGAATAGTCTTTTTATTTGCCCCCCAGAAAAGCTGCGGCCCCTCCGACGCCGCAGCTCGTGACGGCCTCCAAAAACAAACTAGTTGCCGTCTCCGATCCCCAAAATTTTTCTTACCACCTTCTCAAGGATGGGATCAAAGATTGTAGACAGGAACATCTTCTCAATCTGGTCCAATTGTATAGACCATATGGTGCATCTATCTCTTGGAGTCTTAAATTTTGCTACACATACAATTGTTCCAAACCGTCGAAAAGAAATATTCGCTGCCTCTCCACAATCCTTACAAAACTCTTCATTGTCGAGAAAACAAATATGGTAGTAGACATAGCCACAGTTTTCATGGTGGTAATTGAATATGTAATCTTTAATCACAGGTGGGATTGCTGCTTGCTTTACAGCATTTAAAAGAAACATGTTATCAGTAATTGTTCTAGTTGAGAGCTCAAGTAGGGACAACATGGTGGCGAGAAGGTTCCAAGTGGAATGACACTCACCCCTCCACACATGGTTTACGGGCCTTTCGGCCGCGCCAGTGACCTTCATACATGGTTTACAGGCTTTTTAGTCAGCCGTGCCAGTGACCTTCACACATGGTTTACGGGCTTTTTAGTCAGCCGCGCCAGTGACCATCATTCACACATGCACAAAGAGTAGCTCAAGTCCCTCCAGATTTGAGCGCCTCAATGTACAAACACATTCAAAAATAGCCCCACTCCATTTGGATCTCAGCCACCATGTGTTTCGCATCGTGTTTCGGCTGGATATTCTCCATCAAGCGCGACGAGCCGTCGCCATTTATCGTCAAGACAAGGGTGGTATTTCTTAAACCAGTGGAGCCAATCTACGAAGAACTTCGACCCTTGGATCTCAGGCCACCACCGTTACCACCAAGAAACACAGAATATGCCACTATAAAGGTATGTAGTGATAGTAGAGAGGGGAGCGCAACACATGTGCAGCATGTGCAACATGTGTTCAGTGTCCAACATGATCTCTCTGATGCTGTTTAGTGATTTTGTTCAACATTATTTATATCGCAGAGTATGTGAATTTTTAAATTTGATTGAAGAAGACAACGATTCAGACACAGATTCGGAATTTGAGGTCAATTGGGGACCGGGAGGGTGGAACGGGTGGAACGAGGTGGATATTGGGGACTGGGAGGAGTTAAGTGACAGTGATAGTAGTGATTCAGGAGTTGAGATTTTGGTGAGTTTTTTGAATTTTAAACCCATATGGAAGTGTATCATAATTGCTACCATGTTTCCTTTTTGGTCCAGTAATTTTAAACTGTTTGACCTCACTGATTGTAACTATATTCCTATCCTTTGTTCGTCTGATTCTATTTTCCTCAATGTCCATTGTTTGTGCAGCATCACCAAGGACCATCTCTTTCAAACTGTCAAATCCAATCTTTTTAGAAGTTTTCATGTTTAATGTAAGCCCTTTTACTTTACAAACGGGAATCAATTTTTGTTTGTTTGTTGACCACACGAGGTATGCATAGGTTTTTGGCCCTCCAGATACAAACTCTGTTATGTATGAACCTGGTCCATACTCGGCCAACTCATCGGTCATTTCCCCTAGATAATCTCCCGTGGGAACTCTGTACAAACCACCCTTGTATACATACAATACAGAATCAGTATCATAATACAACACTTGACCACCCAAAGCATCTAGATGCTCATAGAGCTTCAATCTCGCTTGGGCAGTAGTGTAAGCTGCCAACACAACATTTACATTTTGCAATGGTTCCCCAACCTCCTCAATGTACTCCCAGCTAACAACAAGAACCTCATCATTGACAATCTGTACTCTATTTACATCAATTTCAGAGCTAGTTAACATTTTGAAAAGTGTTTTTGGGTCCCTGACAATTGTAGCTTTGGTCTGATTTTCACGCTGTCCAAATTTTCCCCAAAACGAGTTCAACATCAGTTTAGCCAACGACCTCAAACCACCATTCTTGATAATTTTGTCTTTTTCTAGTTGGACACCCTCTTTCTTAAAATAGTCGTCAATGTACTTGTTTTTGTCCTCGTCTGTTTCACACCAACCCGGGTACCCAGATGCTTCCTGTTTCATTTTTAAAAATTTATTTATAAAATCAGTAAACAATCCCCCATTTTCATATGTGGCTACCTTATACTCCCAAAGTTCATACATGTCGAGTACAACATAACCCTTTTCTACAGCTTTACGAACTTCGTCCATGGTCCAGGTCCCAATAAGTGCTCTGTCACCACTTTCGTGGTCGCAATCATTTTGAATCTGACCATCTCCACAAGTCGCGCACAAAACAAACATTAACTTGTCATTCATTTTGGCTGGGAGAACGGGGTGATAGAGGTCACGAGGTGGAAGTATTTTACACTTTAATAGACCCTCAACATTGAGACCTCTCTGTCTACACTCTTTGTCTCCTACATAGATCGTTGGATGGCCTACAGGGTACTTGCCATATTTACATACCCAGGGATAGAGAGAGCATACATCCACGTACTCAATGGTTTCCCCTTCGGCGCATTTGTGATAGGTTTTGGCATTCCCGGTTCGGCCCCCAAAAAATGCTTGCCTCGGATTCAGAGGTAAATTGTTGAGGATCGGCAACTTTTCTAGGTGTTTCAGGTTTTCTGTCTTTTTTAACTTTCTAAACTCACATTCCCACATTTGTACAACGTTATCACCCAACTTTGCTATTTTAGATTTAGTCCGTTCATATCGCAAATGGAGTGAGTCAGAGGGGTCCTCTTTCAAAGCAAGTTCACGGTCATAGAGAAAGCATTTAGGGCATCCGTGCCAGTAACAGCCTTGAAATTCGTAAATATTCTGACCGTCAAACCCATCTACTTTCAGTTTATTGATCCTAACTTCTTTTCCACGACCAGCGTGTTCAATTCTAACTCCACGTTTCTCCTCTTCCCATGATAGCCACTGTAACGCGATTGCCGATTGAGCGTCTGTAAGCCTATATCCGTTTTTAGGAACGATGCCGATGGTATTTTTCTTCAAAAAGTTCCGACGGAAGGCCAAATTGCATGCGCTGGCAATGGTTACAGCTTCAAGAAACGGGTCAACATTACACTCTTGCAGGAAAATTGAACGGAACTTTAAGCAAGCTTGGGCCAAGATATCAACGTCCGACATACAGTACTCTAGGATTTCTTTTTTAAAGTCAAATGTGAAGTGGTTTGCAACCTGATCATTATACCAATTTTCAAAATCTTTGTGTGATTTTTTAAACATAGATTCTGGACAGTAAAACTCCTTTGGCGGCATAGGGCCCACATAATTTTGATTCTTAAGGGTGTTGAAGAGGTGGGGGAAATAGCCTTTCTTCTTTTCCGGGGGCAAGTCAAAGGCTTTGGGCAGTGCAGCAAGAGGCATAGGGAAATAACTAAGTGAATCAACAAACCTCACATTGTCAATCTCCATCAAAATGACCTTAGTTCCCCGCATTACAAGTTTCGGAGTGAACTTTGTATCCTCCAGCACATATTTGAGCAAAAACTGGAAATCAAAGCCCTGCCCATTGTGTGCAATGACACAGACATCTTTAAAATTTCTACGGACTTGCATCACATAGTCCATGAACTGAGTGACTGGTTCAGAACTAAACACTCGTGTACGATTTTTACAAGCCATACAAAATTCAGCCTCAATACACTGATAGCAAAACTGTTGTGACACACACAAGTTCACTTGATGCAATTTAGACTCAGGATCTGAGGGCAGGGACTCGTCTTGACGGGTTTCCAAGTCAAAGAAAATAAACAAAAAGTCTTTGGATTTAGGCTTTCTTGTGTCTGGTTTCATATAGCATTTGTGGTTAGGTTCTTCAAATGAACTGCAAGGTTTGCAATATACTTCACCACATTTATGAGGCTTAGATCGATCTCTAATCCAAACCAATTTCCCACAGTCTAGACATTTCTTTACATTTTTACATCTATCAGCTTGATGCGCGATAAAACATCTCTGATTTTTATAAGTCATGTTACATTTAAGGCACAGAACACCACCACTCTCCACTACACAGGGAGGTGAGATAGTTTGACACTGTGGGCAAATGTTTGAGCAACGATGCTCTCTTTTATGGTCGTAGGGTACATGACAGGCTTCACAGAAATAATTACAAACAAAAGCAGCAGTCAAGCAATTAATCACATTGTAGTGTCCATTGTGAAACAACAAGTTAATTTTGAACTTTGGGTTCTCTACATTTCCCTCAAAGTAGACATCACGTCCTTTCCTGTCATAGTTATACACAACAATTTTGTAGTCCCTCAAAAACCCCTGAAATTTTTCAAGTTCTGGGATGCCAGCTCCACCTTCTGGCATTTCAACCCTAGCTCGACACACAAGTTCTTGAGCCCTAACAGTCTGTCTTTTTCCATCATCTTTCCTTACTGCGTTGTAAAGGGGGTCTTTGGTTACATTGGCCATAGCCACTACAATTGCACGGGGAAGACACAATTTATCTTTATTATTAATGACAACAATTCCCCGTCTTGCCTTGCATTCCTCGTCAAACGTATTGTAAAACCCTGGTCTTACCCTTCCAGAACCTACAGGAAGGTTAATTCTAGTGCATTCTACTTTAAAGGTGTCGGTAGATTTGATGGATTCAGAGTTTGATTGCACAATACCGCCAAAGATTTGCTACAAAACGTTTTCATCAATTTCAGTAGCCGGACGAAAATTTACATAGCCTGGTGCTTTTGATTTCAAGTTGAGACTCTCCAAAGTAAACCCAAGTTGATCATTTTCAAAAGCTTGTTCTTTCATACTATTTACAATTTGTGCAAACCCCTGTCTCAACCAATCAATCTCATTAGTCTCTGGAGGCGGATTGGTGAATTTAAATACAGTTTTACTCCCATACAATCTAAATTTATTTACATAAGTTTGATCAGTACTAATCAAATTAACAGGCTCAACTACTTTTACGGGTTCAACTACTTCATCAGATACGTTATCAGCCATACTAACATCCATCGTCGTCAAACGCCTAGAGCAAAGTAAAAGGGACGCGGAGACACAAGATCTAGAGGGGGCACAGTCTGCGCGCGCACACAGCTAAATATAGCACACCGATTGCACACTACAACACAGAGACACAAGATGTGGTGGGGACAAAGCTGCGCGCACACAAAGCTAAATATAGCACACCGATTGCGCAATACGTTACACTAAAGAAACAAAGTTCACTTACCACTGATTCTCCTCTTCCCATGATAGCCACTGTAACGCGATTGCCGATTGAGCGTCTGTAAGCCTATATCCGTTTTTAGGAACGATGCCGATGGTATTTTTCTTCAAAAAGTTCCGACGGAAGGCCAAATTGCATGCGCTGGCAATGGTTACAGCTTCAAGAAACGGGTCAACATTACACCCTAGGGCTAGTTTGAAAGCTAATAACAAAACATGTCTAGTATGTAGCTTCTTTAATTATCATTAATTATGTGTAAATAAAACCTTTTTACGTTTTAAATATGTAACCATTGAATTTTTTTTTTATTTGTTTCATGTCACTAGGTTATACAAGTTATTCTATTGGTAATCATTATGCAATACAGTATTAGATCATAGTTAGATGTATATCTAGAGACTTAAATTGTATCACAAACTACTATTGTGGGTTTAATGTATGTATGGAGTTTGTTGGATATATGTTGGGATTGGGTCAAATTACCAACAGTTCTAGTCCTAACTATGCAAATATTATGTATTGTAACGTTATTTTTGTACTGCGTTAATTGGTAATTTTTTTTTTGCAGTGAAATATGTTAAGGAATAGTATTATTATAATGTTTTATTTAAAGGGAACAGTGTTCAATCACTTTTTCACTTGTTCCTTTTTGTCCTGAATACAGCGTTAGGCCACATCTAACTCAAATCTCACTGTCACAGCAATAATTCACATATGACTAAAAACGATTAAAAATTTATAATTATCACTTTAATTACCAAATTAAAACGGTTTTCGTTTCGGTCCAGCTCTTACCATAAGACCTACGGTAGATGCTTATTTCTTATATGGGAAATTCGCAAAAACTAGGTTTAGCAGAAAAAACATCGGCAATTAATTCTAACTAGTAATGAAAATATTATAACGAATTGTTTAACGTAAAACTTTTCTTAAAGGTAGGTGAGCTTAAAATTAAAAGAATACAATTTTAAAAGGGTTATCAGCAATAGTCCATATTACACCCTTCGTCATGTTAATGAGTGGTAAAGGAAGCATCAGTGTGACCGTAATACTGTTAATGGTTAACGCTTTGCCAGACGCCATTCCATTCTCACCCGGACATTGGCAGGAGGAAATTAACACAACATGTAAAGAAATTTTGGCTAAGTAATTTTTCACTAGATCCTTTATAAGGCACATTAACTACCATATAAAGCATATATAGGCATATATAGGATATGGTAGGCATTTGACTACCAGTGACTTTAAGACTTTTAGTGGCATGGAAAAAATTTCTATTTCAATTGGTTAAACAAATATATTAAAAAATACTGCTTTCTTCGTTCCACACTTTACTGAGATAAAACTGTTGAAATTCCACTATTTAAAGGAACTATCCAGTTTAAATTAAAATATTACAAAAACCATAGATACAAGCATCTATTATAATAACATAAAAATAAATGTTATAAACTTTACCTTACCTTACTTTTCAAACAAAAACGGGTAAATATAAAAGTAAAAAAAAACAATTTGAACAATTGATTTTTTAAGCCACACCTAGTAGCACCTACTAGTTTCGGTCATACCATAAAGAATCCATCGAAGATACATGGTATACAACAAGTTTAATATAAAATATAATGCGAGGGTTTCATTGGAGCGACTGAACATCAAAAGGGATTTCGCTCTTTTATAACATAGATGGATATAACTCAAATAGCTCTCTGGCTTAAAAATACAATAACGCTATATGAATTTCTCTATAAACCAATTTGCACTGTGTATAAGGATATGTCTAAATTGCTTAATGCAGTAATCTACTGAAATAGTATCAAATTCGTTCAAACCTAAAAAGTTGGTTAAATTTAAAAGATATATTAAAAAGATATATTTAAGATGCTTGATTTTATATTACCTTTTAAGGACAATGAAATATAAATAAATACTTATGGTCAAAAAGTACTTTTTAACCATAAGTATTTATTTATATTTCATTGTCCTTAAAAGGTAATATAAAATCAAGCATCTCTTGAGCCTCACTTATTGAAGCTATTTAGAAATAAGCTCGGAGCTAAATGTAAGTTAAAAGGCTCTTCCGCGCCATTAGCAAAATGGGTGAATTGGAAAAGGTTTAAATTGAACTGATAACGAGTGAATTGGCTTACTTTAAATACTTTTGTTGCTTTACACTGTTGGAGTTTGTCTTATTTATTAAATTATCTTGTCAAGTGTATTAGTAAATATACTTCCATAAATGTGGTAACTACTAATTTTAAACTCTATTGAAAGAGTGTAGTTCTAGTGTAACTCTAGTGAAAGATAGTACAATTTGTATTTAGTTATATAAGAAAGCAGATACTACCTTATAATTATGAACAAGTAGTCGAACTTAAAATAGTTCTCTATTTGAATTTACTACTTACAGTATTCTGTCGAGGACAAATATTTGTATTCTAGTAAATCAGCATCTTTAAGGTTGTGTGAAAAACTATTTTATTCATTTTATAACATATTTCATATCTGAGCGTTATTTTCCAGTTTTACAGCCCGCATCAAAATCCTATATTTCATATTTGATTTCACTTAGCTTTATTTAAGGTTATTTCCAAAACTCTATATTTAACGTATTGTTAAATATTATCAATATTTAACAGTTTAAATATTATATATAGTGCACTGTTTAAATATTATCAATATTTAGACAGTGCATGAGGTCATCGGTCAATGGCACTTTGAATGAAGAGCTTACCTTGCTTAACTTAGATGCGGTTTGCGTAGATGTTGACTTTAACTTGTACAGCCGGTTCTTATGTTCAGTTATATTTAAATGCGACTTTGATATCTGTTTGAAAATACAATTTTGTAAAACTTATAAAAACCGTATAAGTTTTCAAAAATAACGTCAAGGTTTTAAACACTTAATTCATATTTAGATAATACACATAATCGTAATAATTAATTAATTAAGGCTATTAATTAACATCTGTGTCTAAGGAATGTCGGCCTTAGTCACTAACAAGACTACAAGATCGCAACACTCATCCCCATTCATTATGTATGGTCGCCATTTCATCAAACAGTATTAACAGTATTAAAAGTACTTACCTTTGTTTGCATATGATACTGAAGTGGTGTTAGGTGAATGCCCTTTTATAGACATACTTATCCAAAGATTACTCATTTTTCAAAGACAAATATTATACATTTTCAAAGGCGTTTATAAAAACATATACATCAAAAACCTACTTAGCTTTGATGAAACAGTAACAAAAAGTATTGGTATTTATATATAACCGACATCTCTATTCGAGTAGGTAAATAACACCGGGCTTACCACATGTTCGTGGTCACGTGAAGCCCCAAAGCATATTCAACGGAGCCACAACCACATATGACGCGATTGAAGTCTCATGCAATAACATATGTTTGGTTAGTGAACAAGTTTACAGTTACTTGTTGGTTATTTATTTTTTGTAACAAAAAATTTGTAACCGATTATATAAAAATTTACCCTACCAGCTCTGTCAGAGGATTTATAAATACATAGCAAGGGATACAAAGAATTGATCCAACAAGTCCAACCTCAGGAGAGGAAAAACGACAGATAGGAGGCAGTCTTTTA